TTGGGACGCCTCATGGCCACGACAGGGATGTGTCTTGGCCGCCGTAGGGATACATCCTAATTTTCAGGCATTTGCAGGCTTTTGTGGGCATGATGTGCAGGCCATATTCGGGACATGTCCTAGCCGCGGTAGGGACGCAGCCTAATTTTTAGGCCATGTTCAGTATTTTTAGCTAGTTTGTTGAACATAGTAGGCAATGTTCGGGACACGTCTGGGCTGCGGTAGTGATTCAACCTGGTTTTCAGGCATTTCTAGATAGTTTCATGGACACGGTGTGCAGGTCATCCTAATTTTCACGTATTTCTCGACAATTTCTTGGACACAGTGTGCAGACAATGTTCGGGACTCGTCGAGGCTGCTGTAGGGTTACAGCATGATTTCCAAGTCCTTCTTGGCAAGCAATTTCTGGGACACGGTATTCAGGCCATGTCCTGGATGAGGCAGGGACGCAGCCAAATTTTTTGGCAGTTTCTAGGACACGATGTGCAAGCCATGACCAGGACGCGTTCGGCCCACGATAGGGATGCAACTTAATTTTTGGGCAATTCTGGAAAGTTTTTGGGCACGGTGTACAGGGCACATCCAGGACGTGTCCTGGCCGTGGTAGGGATGTAGCTTGATTTTCAGGCATTTATAGGAAATTTGAGGGCACGGTGTGCAGGCTTTGTCCGGGACGCATCCTAGCCTCGGCAAGGACACTGCCTGATTTTTAGGCATTTCTTGGTAATTTCTAGGACTTGGTGTGTAGGCCATGTCCGGGACGCGTCACGGCCATGGCAGGGACGGAGCTTAATTTTTAGGCAATTCTAGGCAGTTTCTAGGACATGGTGTGCAGGCCATGTCCAAGATGGGACAAGGACGCATCTTGACTTTCAAGTATTTTTAGGCAGCTTCTGGAGCACGGTGTGCATGCAGTGTCTGGGATGCGTCTGGGCCACGGTAGGGATACAGCTTGGTTTCCAGGCATTTTTAGGCAGTTTTTGGCACATGGTGTGTGGGCCATGTCCAGGATGCTGTAGGGACACATTCTGATTTTTACGTAATTCTAGGCAATTTCTTAGACCCAGTGTGCAAGTAATTTTTGTGAGACATTGGGGCTGCTGTAGGGATGCAGCCTAATTTCCAGGCATTTCTAGGCAGTTTTTGAGACACGGTGTGCAAGCTTTGTCTAGGATGCGACAGGGACGCAGCCTGATTTTCAGTCATTTCTAGGCAGATTTTGGAACATGATGTTTAGGCCATGACCAGGACGCGTCAGGGCTATGCTGGGATGCAACCTGATTTTCAGGCATTCTTAGGAAGTTTTTGGACACGGCGTGCAGACCGCGTCCGGGACGCGTCCTGGCCACTGTAGGGATGCAGCCTAATTTTTAGGCATTTGTAGGTAGTTTGTGGGCACAGTGTATAGGCCATGTCTGGGACGCATCCAGGCCGTGGCTGGGATGCCGCCTAATTTTTAGGCATTTCTTTGCAATTTTTGGGACTATGTGTACAGGTCATGTCTGGGACGCGTCATGGCCAAGGCAGGGACAAAGTCTATTTTCATGCAATTCTGGGCAGTTTCATGGACACGGTGTGCAAGCCATGTCTAGGATGTGGCAGGGACGCATCTAGACTTTCATGTATTTTTAGGCAATTTCTGGAACACATGTGCAGGCAATGTTCGGGATGCGTCTGGTCCGCGGTAGGGATGCAGCCTGGTTTTCAGGCAGTTTTCGGGACATGGTGTGCAGGCCATGTCCAAGATGCTGCAGGGACACATCCTTATTTCCTCATTTTTCTATGTAGCTTCTTGGACACGGTGTGTGGGTAATGTCCGGGACTCGTCTGGGCTGCGGCAAGGATGCAGCCTAAATAGGGGGATACACAACAATTGTAGGGAAGGAGAAGGAACCATAGTACACTGATCATAAGAATGGCCCAATTGTTTACAAGAGAAGCAAAAAATCGGTCGCTTCAAATAAATAACTGTTTGCCAAAAGCCACGGTTACCGGCGCGCTCAATCCAAACCCTCTCGGGCAACTTATGTCCCAAATTCACCTCAGTACACACCCTTACCTCACCAGAGCGTCTCAAGTCAGAGGTGGCCTCATCGAGGTTTAGGGTTTAGGGTTAAGGGTTTTTTTTTTTTACCTGAATTTTCCTAAGTTCTAACAAAGCGGCAGAATTTAGTTTTACTGATATTCGTAAAGTCATAGAGTGTTTAACTAAGCCAAAACACAATAAATATAGGATAATAATTATTAACTAGATTAGAAGAAGCCATTGTATGGACTTAATTGAGGAGGCAGCTGAGAAGATGAGACCATGTCCAGCAAATTCGTGTCCATTGTGCTTCCAAAGGTTGTACCTTGATTAATTATTGGCAGATTTGTTGTTAAATTTACGCTTCCAGCATTGCCTCCATCCCATTGATATGAAAAGTACAACTCATTAGGATAAATCTGCAAAGCTTCAGTCTCCATGCTTCGAAAGTTAGAATTAAATTCCATGATAAAATCAGAATTCTCAGAATAGAAAGATTTATTTCCTATAGGGTTTGGAGCATAATGGAATAAGTCGTTTTCCACATATTCTATAGCAGGCAGTTGAGAATCAGTTGTCTGTAAAATCTCTAGGGAAGTGAAGAAAATGGTGGGATGATTATAATTTTCATCAATGTTGATGCTATAAGCATTCTCAGATGTGCCTTCAGCTGGATTCATTGGTTGACAATGATCGACTGGAATTGAATCGATGGACCGATTGTTTTCCAATAGGGTTTTCATGAAATCCAGTTCATCATTGCATGATCGAAACTGAAAAAGGGTGTAGAGTCGTCATCATTAGAGAGTGGTGTGCTAGCGTTGGACGGATTTGCTGTAGTGGTGGTGGTGCCAAAATTTGAGTTAGTGGAGGTGGAACCATTACTAAAATATTTTTTTATGATGTAATCTTGTAATACTGTTAACTCTCTTCTATCTCCTTTTACTTTCTTTATCTTCTCCTTGAGATCTGCCTCCTTTTTGTAGCATTCCAGTGATTTTTTATTGAATTTTTAGTTCTTTGAGGAATGTACTTAGCTATCTCCGCCTATCGATTTCCTTGTCCTTCATGTGCCTGAATTAACCATCCCTCTTCATCTTCAGTCCAAATGTCCTTCTTGATATGAGGACGCAGATGATTATTCCATCGCTCGCGACACTGTTTTCCCACTCTACCAACCATTTCTTCAGCTATTACAACCCATTTCCCCAATCCAAATTGTAGTACTTAGCTAATCAGTCTCCTGTCTTCTTCGCCTATCTACTGGCCTTTTATCTGATATCGGGAAGAAGAACTACCACCTCTCTTCTCCTTCCAATCAGGATTGATCGGTGCAGGTATCACATTTACTGAAAGATTTTCATCCAAAGTTTGTTTTTCATGTTGAAGTCCTTCCTTGAAGCATGGCTCTCCGGTGGCGTAATTACTGGTTGTGCCATTTGAAGAAAAAATTTGAAACTGATTTACTTCATTAGAAGGAAAATGGTTTAGGGTTTAGGGTCAGGGCTTAGGGCTTAGGGCGGTTTCTGGGACACGGTGTGCATGACATGTCCAGGACGCAACCTTATTTTCAGGCATTTCTAGGCAGTTTCTAGGACATGGTGTGCAGGCCTTGTCTGGGATTCATCCTAGCCATGGATGCAATCTGATTTTTAGGCATTTCTAGGCAGTTTATGGGCACGGTGTACAGGCCATGTCCAAGAGGTATCCTGGCCACGTACACAATCTAATTTTCAGGCATTTCTAAGCAGTTTGTGGGCACGGTGTGCAGGCAATGTTCGAGACGCGTCCTGACCACGTTAGGGGCGCAAGCAGATTTTCAACCAAATGAAGGAAACACGGTGTGTAGGCCATGTTAGGGGTGCATGCATTTTCCCAGACATTCTGGGTAGTTTTTGGGACATGGTGTGCAGGCCAAATTTGGGACAAGTCATGGCCACGGAAGGGACGTAGCCTGATTTTCACGCATTTTTTGACAGTTTTTGGGCACTATGTGCAGGCCATGTCCAGAATGCATCCTAGACGTGATAAGGACGTAACCTCATTTTCGAGAATTTCTAGGCAGTTTCTAGGTCATGGTGTGCAGGCCATGTTCAGGACGCATCCGAGCCAAGGCAGGGACTGAGCCTGATTTTCAGGCATTTCAGGGTAATTTTTTAGCACGTCATGTAAACCATGTTCAGGATATGTCCTGATCATGGCAAGAACGCAACCTAATTTCCAGGCATTTCTAGGGAATTTCTAGGACACGGTGTGCAGGCAATGTCCAAGATGCGACAGGGACGCAGCCTGATTTTCATGATATTCTAGGCAATTTCTGGGACACGATGTGCAGACCATGTTCAGGACTCGTCTGGGCCGCGATAAGGATGCAGCCTAATATCTAGGCATTTCTACTTAGTTTCTAGGACACAGTGTGCAGGCCATGTCCTAGCCGTGGTAGGGACGCAACCTGATTTACAAGCATTTCTAGGTAGTTTCGTGGTCACAAAGTGTAAGCCATGTCCAGGATGCTGCAGGGACGTATCCTAATTTTCGAGTATTTCTAGACAGTTTTCTGGTACACGGTGTGCAGGCAATGTCCGGGACGCGTTTGGGCTACGTCAGGGACGTAGCTTGATATTTAGGCATTCGTGGGAAGTTTTCGGGCACGGTGTGTTGGCCACATCTGGGATGCATCCTGGCCGTTGTAGGGATGCATCCTGATTTTCAGGCATTTGTAGGCAGTTTGTGGGCACGGTGTGCAGGCTATGTTCGAGATGTATCCTGGCCTCGACTAGGATCCAGGCTGAATATTAGGCATTTCTTGGAAATTTTTGGGACTCAGTGTGCAGGCCGTGTTCGGGACGCCTCATGGCCACGTCAGGGACCCGTCCTGCTCGTGGTAGGGATGCATCCTGATTTTCAGGCATTTGTAGGCTTTTTGTGGGCACGATGTGCAGGCCATATCCTTGACATGTCCTAGCCGCGGTAGGGATGCAGTCTGATTTTCAGGCATTTCTTGGCAATTTCTGGGACTCGGTGTGCAGGCCATGTTCAGGACACATCATGGTCACGGCAAGGACGGAGCCTGAATTTTGGGCAGTTTTGGGCAGTTTCTGGGACACGATGTGCAGGTCATGTCCAGGATGTGGCAAGGATGCATCCTGACTTTCAGGTATTTTTAGGCAGTTTGTGGAACACGGTGTGTAGGCAATATTCGGGATGCGTCTTGTCCGCAGCAGGGATTCAACCTGGCTTTCGGGCATTTCTAGATAGTTTATGGGACACGATGTGCAGGCCATCCTGATTTTCATGTATTTCACGACAATTTCTTGGACACGGTGTGCAGACAATGTCCAAGACACGTCGAGGCTATTGTAGGGATGCAGCATGATTTTTAGGCCCTTCTAGGCAGTTTCTAGGACACGGTGTGCAGGCCATGTCCAGGACGAGGTAGGGATGGAACCAGATTTTTAGGCATTTTAAGGCAGTTTCTAGGACATGGTGTGCAGGCCATGACTAGGACGCATCCGGGCCATGATAGGGATGCAACTTGATTTTCAGGCAATTCTGGGAAGTTCTTGGGCATGGTGTGCAGGGCACATCCGGGAAGCGTCCTGGTCGTGGTAGGGATGCAGCTTGATTTTCAGGCATTTGTAGGCAGTTTATGGGCACGGTGTGCAGACCATTCTGGGATGCGTCTTGGCCTCGACAAAGACACAGCCTGATTTTCAGGCATTTCTTGGCAATTTCTAGGACTCGGTGTGTAGGCCATGTCCAGGACACAGCATGGCCATGGCAGGGACAAAGCCTAATTTTTAGGCAATTCTGGGCAGTTTTTGGGACACGGTGTACAGGCCATGTCCAGGATGCGACGGGGACGCATCTTGACTTCTAGGTATTTTTAGGCAGCTTTTTGGGCCAGGTGTGCAGGCAGTGTCCGGGACGCGTCTAGGCCGTGGTAGGGACACATCTTGATTTTCACGTATTTCTAGGCAAATTTTTCGACCTAGTGTGCAGGCAATTTTTTGGGACGCGTTGGGGCTGCTACAGGAATGCAGCCTGATTTCCAGGCATTTCTAGGCAATTTTTTGGACACGGTGTGCAGGCTTTGTCCAGGACGCGACAGGGACGCAACCTTATTTTCGGGCATTTCTAGGCAGTTTTAGGGACATGGTGTTCAGGCCATGACCAAGACGCATCAGGGCTACGTAGGGATGCAGCTGATTTTTAGGCATTCTTAGGAAGTTATTGGACATGGTGTGCAGGCCGCGTCTGGGACGCGTCCTAGACACTGTAGGGATGCAACCTAATTTTTAGGCATTTGTAGGCAGTTTGTGGGCACGGTGTGCAGGGCATGTCCGGGATGTATCCAGGCCGTGGCTGGGATGACGCCTAATTTTCAGGCATTTCTTTGCAATTTTTGGGACTCGGCATGCTGGCCATGTCGGGACACGTCGTGGCCAAGGTAGGGACGGAGCCTAATTTTAAGG